CACTGTCTTGATTAGTAACGCAATGGAAAAAARAAAAMCACGTAATTTTCCATATGGCGGAAAGCCTAGCAAACTCTCTTGAAAAACAGATCGAAAACCAAAGGAAATGAGTCACCCGTTTAAAAACTAAAGACAAACAACGTCCAAAACAGAAAAATAAACAAAAACAAGAAACAAACTTGTCATCGCTCATCACCACCGCAAGTACAGCAGTGGCGCAGCTCAACAGGGTCGAACTGAAAGCATGTGAAGGCGCCACTGGTAGCCGCGCTATACAGTCCATGTATGACCCTGGAGCACAGCTCTAACCAGTTTGAATTAGTTAGGGTTGATTTCAGAGGGAGGAAAAACCGGTGGACTGCAAAACCCTGGGAGTCAGAAAGAAAACCAACACAGCTCACATGAGGCGACTGGGATTCGAACCCAGGACATCAGAGGTGAGCGTTTTACCACCACGCCATCCTGACTCCCCTTAAACAGAACTAGAACAGAATAGGACAGTTCCGAGATTCAGCGCGCGCAGGCTCGTGGTTTTACCGCCGTAATCATAACCATGCGAACTCTGTGTCTGCGAGCTGAAATTTGGAAATTTGAAAGTCGTTACCTTTTTACTGGCGGCAACGAAAACCAAATTTCAGCGTGCAGCTCGCAGCGACAGAGTTTGCATGTAATGAAAACGGAGGTAAATCGAACGCTCAAAAGTAGGTAGCCTATAATAAGATTGTGCCGTATTTCATTTCTTCGGTATACGTGTTCCAATTTGACCAAGACACATTTATATATATAGACGATACTTGACCTAAACCCCAGCTGTTTTCTTTAGGCAGTAAGCGCGCTTCTCGTAAGCAGGTTAACGGCTTTGAAGGGTTTTGCAGTTTATAATAGCAATTCTCAAGAGGGGATTTGCTCTCTTTTCAGTCATTTCAATGAAATCAATTAACCCAAGCATTTGATAACAAGCTTTCGAGATTTCCTTTAGTAATACTTGAGTTATACATCCTTAGGTCACGAGGCAAGCCTTTCGGCAAGGAAGGTACTTCATGAAGTGAATGTACAGTATTTGGTCGGTACGTGGACCCTTTAATGTCGGTTCTTCACGGTTTAAAGAGGTCATTGATTAAGATAATTAAGCCATGATGAATTTTACCCCACTAGCTACTCTACCCAAATACTTCGGAAATTTTCTTTCTGGTTGAAACTTTTATTTCCTCATGACAACTGAACAAATGAAAGTGTGGTGGTGGTAGTAATTGCCGTCTACATGGAAATGCCAATTCCTGGGATGCACGTTAAAGCCGCTATGTTGGTTAACGTTAACATCAACCAACACGGTGACTGTTTCATTGTTATTTCTATTTTAAGGGATTTTGAGTCACGTGGTTGCACACCAAGAATTCGATGTACGAGTGCTCGAGGGAATTTATAGCTCAGTAGACGAGTCTGAACTTTGAAGGCCGTAGTTGCCAATTAAATGGTCATAAAACAACGAATTCACTAGGATATTTATTGAAGTTTACTTAGAATTCCTTGATGTTGTCCGACCGAGTCCAGAAACCTGTCAGTTCTGGCTTGCGTTATATATAATTTCAATAACATCCCTTAAAGATAGCAATACAAGATATCAGTCGTGTAAATAAAGGTATTCTTGACCTGGGCTAACCCTTTTTTATTTGAACCTTGCCGCGTGGGACGAATCCGATTACAAGCAAACTGCCTCCAACATCTGTTTTCTGGATCTAGCATTGTTCTAACTGAAACGCCACGGACATTAACCCGTTGTGCTTTGAAAACAGTTCTGAGATAAGGTCGAAAAAGTTATCCCAAATATGTTGTCCACATAACAATGGCTCGAGAAATACTCTTATTGTCTTTTAGTCGGATGTTTTGTTTTTATCAAATGGAGATTTTATTTCTATCGGCTTCCGGGTCAAAGCGAAATATGGAACTTACGGTGAATAAAATGTTCCAGACTAGACAGGATCGAATCGCTTAAATGTTCAATCACTTTCGCTAGATACAAGAGATAGTCCGAGTGAAACTGATATTTTCATGGTTTGAGTCTGCGCAGATGCTCAACAAAAAAGAACGACTCAGGATATCCCATGATGCATCATGCTGTCACTTCACCGTACAATCAAGTCTATTTATAGCAAAATGTCCGATAAGAAAAAAATAGGTAGATATAGGGCCACTGTATTTTACGATGGACGGAACCATGTAAATCGTATGGCACTCCTCTCAGCACCGCAAAACATTCATAGCATATACTCATAGCTTCTGGACTTTCAGGGTTTGCAACACTGAGGAAATACGCCATGAAGGCTGGGCTGGGAAACTACTTAAGTTACCAGGCTTTTGAAGACGGCCCTCAATAGAGACCAGGAAGTAGCCACACTGATATGGGGCTGTAAACTAGTGACATTGATTGCTATTACAGTTTCAATACTAGAAGAACACAAAGTCTCATTCCCCTCATGTGCCCATGCCAGCTTAATTAATATCCCGTTATTATATAACGTTTTTTTTTTTTGGCTATTGTACTGCTGTCATTGCGAATACATTATGTGCTTACAGTATTAAAGCACGCGTTAATCCTCTGTCTGGCACCAATAAAATAAACATTAGATGGCCGGCCATACTTTTTTTCGAAAACCGGAATCGTTTGCAAATAGCGTCGCATGAGCTCCAAAGAATTGGTTTTGGACAGGACTTAATCGGTGCCTATTCAGAAGGTTTTGGCGCCATTTTTTCTATCACAACAAGGTTATCGACTTATTTTGACACGTTTGCTGAATATCATATCGATTTAACAGATTTCTATGCGAACGGAAAGCTGCAAGGCCACTTTCGAGGCAAAAAGGCACCGCAGGGTTAAGCCTTGCCCTAACGATTTAACTACTGACAGCGATGACAGAATCGGATCATGAGAATATAGTGGCTTGCATGGTGTATTCTATTGGGATGATGCGTTGGCGGTGAACAGGCTGGATTGTCCTGTTTGCCTTCGCGTATGACTGAATACCTTCCATAAGACAAAACTTCCGAACGCCCACATTTCGAGTTTCTAAAGTTCTTGTGCAAATGAATAACCTATTAAGATTATTTTAATAATGAAAGTGCGGATTATATTGATTAAGACTTTATTTCTTTTACGTAGCACGCTTTTGACCGCAGCCGCCAGGAAGAGGGTAGGTAGGGGGAGTGTCAGTAATCAATGTGTGCGGTGGAGGGGTGAGAATGAAAGTTTACACTTATACAAATCACACTGCTAAGAGAATCCTTTTTTTTACATAATACTGAGAACAGGAATCTCCAACTGTGTTGGTGTTATTAAATGTGGATATATAACCCCACGAAACACAGCTGCCTACCCTGCGAGCAGAGTCTCCTTTTAACTCCTCTCGCCCGTATAGGAGTTAAAAGGAGACTCTGCTCGCAGGGTAACAGCTGCCCAGCTATTATTGCAAATTCAGATTTCCGTTCTATTCAGACATAAACTTCTTTCTGTTGTTTTGACTTGTTAGCCGTTTCAGTTTCGTTCGAAGACAAGACCCTTCCTATACGACAATTAATGGTATATCACCGCATCATTAACTTTATGGTCATTTTGTAAGAGCCAGTGAAGTTTCTAGTGAATAAGTGAGGGAGTACTAACTATTACGGAGGTGGTGTACACCTCTGTATTTCTGGACCAGGTTAATGGAAAATACTGAATCTTGACCAAATGTTCTAAACTTGTGCATGAGTTACATTTTGAAACTTTTCTGGGATTGGCTTTATCGTATTTTTTTTTTCAAAATCAATGCTGTCGTTTCTCAAATGACGAGTTGTGATCAAGTCGAGTTAGCCATAGACAGACCAGCCCAGAGATTAATCCTGCAAGGATTCCACAAAACTAAGGCTTATAAATCATCAGACGAGGTAGCTGGGAACCCTATTTAGTACAATATGTAGGTGGGTATTGCAGACAAAATATTCACTGATTATGATAGTCTAGTTCTTTGGACTTGCCGTGTAAAAAAAAAAAAAAAAAAAAAAAAAAAAACACGCAAACTAGTGTGAACGCTTTCTGCATTTTAAATCCGCCTCCTGTTTCAGTCCTTGTTGTTTGGTATTTTACTATTTTTACAATTCCCTCGTTGGACTCACCGACTGTTAACGCACACTAAAACTCTTCCCGTAACTTCTAAATACCATTATATTCTTAAGATTATAACTTCCGGGTTTGTTTAACAGATGCTTTTGTTGAGATAAACTTACTTCTTATATTTTAACAACTGCCTTGTCTTTTATATTAAACCGGAAATGAGAAGCGCTGAGGCGGATAAAATTCAAGGAAAGATGGAGTCTTAAAGCCTATTTGTTTGAACACGGTGTCTTTTATTCTGCATCAGAAAAACTTTCGGTTTAATCACAAGTCCTTAGTATTATTAATGCTCTTGTATCATCTGGAGGTCTTTTTAAACGCTGTGGTGGGCATTAATTCCTAGTTTAAAATTCTCAAGAAAGTTACTTCAAAAAAAAATTCTGCCAATTCATCAGGGGTCCTGATGGTGTAAGATGACAACTGAGAGTCAAATATTACATCCTTTTTCACTGAAAAAATTAGATTTGAAATTCCTTGGAGTTACAATTAGATGGAATTTTTCAAAACTTTTCACTGAAAATAGGAGCAACGCCCTAGATCTACCCGACGGTTCACTTAATAAAAGAGCGGTACGTCTTAGCAGTACCATTAAGGTTGTTTTACTGTAAACGGCTTAAGAGTAGTTTTCAAGCAAATTACAGTAACTTTTTCGATCGGTATTAGAAAGTGAACAGCAACTGAAGAAGGGCTAATTTAAGTCCATAGGAAATGATCAGATACTGAAGTCATCCAGATCTTGATAACCATCACAGAATTATCTGCTAAACTCTCGAAAACCATGAAAACGATGAGATAGCGGAAATAATGTTATCGCGGAGTTTGAAGGAGGACGTCCTAAAGAAAGATACTTTTCATAGTCATGACCTAAAAACGCAAAAACAAGTATCCATTTCCCTAGCACGTACGATAACCTTCGGCTTCTGAGAGGTACTTTGAGCTTTTGCCATTGTTCTCGAAAGATAGATTTTTATTCGATTCGTAATAGTGTATGCCAACGTATTCAGGACGGGACGTGGGCAGGTCTAAGAAGCCAAGTCACGACTTGTGAGCCGCGAGTACCTCATCTTCCCGAGTGACGCAAAACTTAGGATAAGCCTGCGGAGACAACTTTGTCAGATCAATTTAAAATGAAGACTAGAGAATAATCGGCCATGGTTGAATTATTTCAGTATCATTGGCTCGTGAACTTCCATTGGCAACATCTTTGATTTTGACACTAATCATAATCGAGTGTTTTCATAAAATGTAAGAATGTCAGTATATCGAGGGAATGATTTTAAGGGTGTAAAATTGTTTGAAGGGTGTCTCACTCAGCCCACTCAACATCGGGAAGATTTCACAATATTCTTATAGTAGGGATGGTTGTACAACTCAATTCATTGTTCCTGTCGTTAGGAGACCATAAATCACCTTTTATTAACCGCGCCTTTTCACACTTGCACAGAAGATATTCCAATAGGTTTCCTCCTTACGCACGTCAGTTGCAATTAGCTGATTGTGATTACAGACCGTTAGCACATCAATGGTTCATTAGTGCTTGTGTTTACGATTAATTCTTGCAAGGATCTGCTAAAGATTTCGTGGCAGTGTCGAGAAAAGCCGCTCAAGGAGGCCTGAAAAAGAAGACCCCGGCGGGACGTTTGATTCACAAAATGAAAAAACTAAACAGGAAATTGACAAAAACGCACCAAAGATGTACAAGGCAAGGTAGAGGTAAGCTGTTGGGTCTTCAAAAATATTCTCGACCCAGACACATCAGCATTCAAAGCAAGATTTTTTTCCTCGTCCTAGTTACTTTAATTAAATTTCAACATGTCGGGCAATCCGCACTACTTACTGTATAGGTCAATACAAGCGTCCAAATCTACATTAAACTTCTAATCTCTCGATCCCGTCTCCCTGATCTTTAAAATTCTAGTCTGTGTAAGCGATATTAGAGGTTTTGATAGAAATCTCATTTTGCTTCAAGGAATCTGCACAAGCATGAAGGCTGTAATACTCGTTTGATGGTCAATTCGTGGCTTTGTCCTCCTCAAATATTAATAAAGTTATCATCTTTGGGTTTTCATGGCGAGTTATATCGCGAGCTATAAAGCCGCCGCTGTATAGAAAAAAACTGAATGCGGCAAAGGGCGCTAAACAAACAAGAAAAATTTTCAATATCAAACATGATTTCAGGCACCATACCGGCCATCCATTGTATATATTTTTTTAAACCTTGGCGCAATTTTCATTTCGACTCTATTCCCTCAAAACAAAGCCATGTGAAAAGTGAAAATATTTATGAGGAAATTAGTATTTACCAAAATGCGGTAAAGCTATCGAAACTTATACTAAAAAGAAATTAATTTTTTCATCGTCTTACATAAGCTTGAATATAGAACTCCGCTAAGGTAGAGTTTGGGACGTCCATTGAAAACCTCGGGGAATCGGAAAATGGCTTTGAAGAGGTGAAACCAGTTGTGATATCAAATTCTGGCAGCCTTGTTTTTGTTTCTAATATATCGGTGCCCTTTGTGGTGTGAAGCTGGATTTGACTACCATGCAGAGTAGGGTCTAAGCTCGCTGATCGGGGGTCGAGTATAGCCTGAACTCATCTTCCTTTTGAAATTAGTACTTGAGTGTAATTGGCTACTTTTAATATTAGCCAATCAGATGGCCGGCTTCGCTCATTAGGGTTTGATTAGAACAATCGAATCAGTTGCTGTCAATAGCGTCAAATGACAGGGCAACGAGCCGCGTTCACCGTCTTCAAAGGTTCCGACACTAAGCTTACGGTCGAGCGAAAAGCATTCACTATCTTTGTATTTTGTGTCGCCGTGTTCTCCTCAGCAAAGCAAACCTACCAACTGCGCCATCGAGACTGAGTGACTGTGGTCGAAAGAGATATGTAGTAGACTAGCGATGGGCAAGAGATATAGCAAGCAAGGTATTTCAGCGGGGTTTTCCTTGACTTGGCTTAGGAATAGCTAAGTCCGTTCTCGACAGATTTGTTTCTTTGATCGTGTATTTCATCCCTCGGTTTAAAAGCGCGTTTATGAGGATAACTCTCTTTTAGACGCTCGTACTGTTGATTATTCTATACTCATCGTTTCTATATCTTGTGTTTCAGCGTGGATTTCACGTGAGGGACCCGAAGGTAAAGAAAATGTTTTACTTCACTCAAGAATCCTGATGCATGGTTCTTGTGTGAATCGCTAACATGGAACTCTCTTTGTTTAGGCGATTGCGTGATCGAGAATGATACGACTAACTCCTCTTCGGTCTCACAAGGGACTACAGAGGATCTGATCAGGCCTCCTTGCTCTCATACAGCTGATTTTATGTACAAAGGGTATCCTGTCAACTTGGTAAGTGTGCAATATTTCGCATACGCAATGTCTTTACCCTCACGTCCACCGTCTATCAAGCGCGCGCCTTTATTGCCTATACACCCAGAGTATTCTCTTCTTACCAAATGAACATCATGGCCGATAACAGGCGATAAAGACCGATGAATCGCAGGTTTTTTGGCGTGTCAAACGAATCTTCAAGGCAGCGACATTTTTATGTCCATAGATGTCGATCGGTGTTGACTGAAGAGAAAAGGCAACAACCATTCAAATAAAAGGTCAACATGTTTCGGACAAGCATGCGGGGATTCATGGCCACTCGAACCATACGATATGCGATGTTATTGTCGTAAATTATCCGTGCTGTAGACCCACAAATGCATGTAATCGTACTTATGCAATGAGGAGGAACGAGCTTTAAGAGATTGTTGTCGTCGCTTTTGAGACCAACGAATCGGAGTTCATTGAAATATTCACAACACAAAACGATTCACAAGTCCGTGTGCCGCGCTTCTACGCCATAGGATTAAATATCGAACGAAAAGAAATCTAAAATTAAGCGAAATTTCGAAACTCTATTAAGATGTAATGACAGTTTATGTTCGAATATAAATAGAATACTAGAGAGCGTATTGAAATGTGTATATGTTGATGATTTGAATACGTAACGCGTTACCCCATGCCTCTGTGCCCGATCACCTACACACTTCAAGAAACAGGCTATACATTTCAACATAAAATTCAACCCTTTCCGGAAAATACCCGACTCTGAGCGTGTTCCAAGTTGTCATCGGTATCTTAAGTAACAATCTTGGGTCACGTTCGTATTACAAGCCTGAGATTCACCGCAAAAACATCACCAGGATAGCTCGGTGGTCTACAACTTGCATAACGCGGACGAGTGACGCTCTCCGGATTTATTATTAACGGTCGTAGTTCCTCGTCGAAACAAACTGTTGATTTTGAAATAACCTTAATACAGATGAACTACACTTTATTATATTTTTCCCGCTCGATTCACCGTGATAGTACGTACTCGTCGACTGTGTTTTCATACGTATACCCATTGGGCGAGCGCTTGATAGATTGATATGAAGAGGTCCTTGATCAGATATTTACCCTAGATCACAGACATTCCGTTTACTAAATCCCTCCGTTAAGGCAAGCGATTAGGAATTTCTTTTCTGACTCGTCGTCGAATACGACAAAAGCAACGCTTTATTTGAGAGCGAGGAGAAAAAGTTACTCGTTCATTAATTAGTAAAGACTTAAAAAACATTGTAGATTTCATCATGTAATGTATTTAAGCTAAACGGTTATTTGTAAAGAATTCTCTAAGTTGGCGTCTTTGAAAAATCAAATTTCCGTTCACAGCGTATGGTGCTTTTATTGAGAACATATAATGGATTAAATAAAGGATCAATGGACAAAATCTTTGAATATAAACATTATGAAGGAAGTTTAGGTACGAGGAGTTTTTTTATTTTCTAAGCTTGAGTTAAATCGCTGACTCGTTTATTCCACACAAAAAAGGAGAGAAAAATGAGCAGTTTTAATCAATTATATTCTTATAAGAATTTGAATAATTTTATGTTTTTGCGTTGGTTGTGCAATGTTGATAAACAATAATAAATAATAACTTTATTTCACATATATCAAGTAATATGTCGTTAAATATTAGTTCATGTTTGAAGATTTGTTGAAATTACCTTTGAAATATGAAAATTTGATCAAATTTGCTGTTTTATTTAGTCTACATCTTTACAATTTTTATCACCAATAACTTTTAATAAGACAATATATTCAGAGTATTTTTATCTTTAGCATTAAATTGAAATAATTTTGAGTTATAAAAACATATAATCGGTTGAGAAATGTAATCTAATGAACTTATTTGTAAAAATATTAAGATAACTTGAGAAAACTCTAGAAATGCCAAGAGAGCAATTAATTAATAGGCAATTGACCATGTTAAATTAGGACCATACACCTTGACCTGTTGTCTAGAACACAGTAGAAAGAACCTTTAAAGTGGTCATTCATCACAGCATGGGAAATGCTGGTGAATGGCAATAACTTTAACAGGCTAATTTTCTATTAATGATTAATAGAAAATTAGCATATTTAATAATGATTATGCATCTTGATACTGTGATTGTGGACAAAACTTGCTGGGACGTTTCTTGATTACCTGTATAGAATGATTTTTTCTCATACAACAAATTTACCCCCATGTGTTGCAATAAAAAGATTTGGCCTACGACTGTAGGATTAAATTCATTTTGGCAACACAAAAAGTTCCAACAGTTTTGTCCAGGAGTGCACTAGTACACACAGCAAGCAAGTTTTTTATTTCTTTTATAAAATACAAATTACAGGAATGACGAAATTGAAAGTGTGCGCGCATGCTGTGTGCACGCACGCACATCCAACCAATCAGAACGCGAGATTCATAACAGTTATTTTATAACTACTATTAGAATTATTTCAATCAAATAATTAAACCCTCTTGCAATGAGATGTGGGATATTAATTAGAATAATAAAATTCCCTTGATACCAGGGACTCTTGTTCCAGTGTTTCTGGGTCAATTGCCTCTTGCCTCCTGGGTCTCAGGCTCAATTGCTGGACTTGGCATCACATGTGAGTAGAGTTTGTTCAGCCTTAATTACCCTTGATTAATGGGGTTTTCTCGGGGTCCTCCAATTTTCTTTCCTTCACCAAACCTAACAAGCTCTAAATATTGTCCATAGACTGAACCCAAACAATGGAATACAGAATGTTTGACCAACAAAGATTTTTTTAGTAGTCATCCATTTTTTTCTTGATGTACCTTTAGGCTTGGTACCGACATAAAAATCATAATCATTAACATAATCTTAAGAATGTTATGAAGCTTGTTTTGGCTTTTTACCTGCCTTAATGACCCATATAACCATAAACATAAGAAAATAAAAAAATTTGATGATGTTGGTCTTTAAGGCAGGTTTATGATTGTGATTATGTCAGTAATGATGAGCAAGCTATAGAATGCATTGATGCTAAGACAGTCAATTACGATTTTCAGCAATCAGTTTCGAACGTCTATTCCATGCTGTATATCAAAAATATATGTTTTAGCCTGTCTGATGTAGGGAGGTAGAACAATGAATGTGGGGATTGGTGTATTCAATCTAAAGATGTGTTTTCACACTACTTCTTATCATACAAAAATTTTGTATGATGAGAAGTGTGAAAAACATGCATATGCAATTACATCATTGCATGGAGTAACTGCTCAGTCTCCCGAGTCAGAGGCCCATGTTTAAGCTTTCAATGCCAGATTGAATTGGAATTTTATCAAAAGAAGAAAACTTGACATTAATTTTTAGAGATCAAATGTTGGAACTTAGGAATGATTTTTTCAGAGGAAAAAAATTTAAACAGAACCCAGAGACAAACTCTTAAAGCAAAGGAGAGAACTTTGCTCACATACGACACCAAGACCATAAATTGAACTTAGGTCGCATTGGTGAGAGGCACCCATGCATTAGACTGCAGACCATCCCTGTTTCCCAACATCGGATACGGTTTACCAAGATTATGTTCTAAAATAATCTAGTTTTTTTAAAAATTTGTTCATCTGTCATGGATAAAATATGTACAAGTACACTGTACTATTAGTCTAAGGAATTAAGTCTTCTGTATTAAAGTGCTTTTCTTTATTGCTAAAAAGGTTTTTCTGGTTATGGAAATTGCATAACATCATCATTAATTTGTCTAGCTGGAGTTATGACTAAATAGGAGTTCATTCATTTCATTATTTATTTTCTCAATTCTACATTTTTTTTTCATTGATAATTTTACTTTTCATTTATACATTGGCAGACATCAGGGTTTTCATTATTTTAAGTCTTATAATAGGAAAAGATTTTGGATGAAAACCCTGCCAAAACTTAGAGTTTTGAAATAATAGAAGATCATGGTAGTTTAATTTTGATAATTTTGCTCATGCAGTTACAAAAACATTTTCCGATCTCTGACCCTAAATGAAAGAGTCCCACAATGCACTGCTATGACAACTTGACCCAGTCAAGTCTTGTTAATTTGAAATGAAAAGATTACATACAGCGATTTGCTCTCTATATGTTGCCTATATATTGTTTGGATGGAAATGCAATAAGAGCAATTTGAAAAGAAATAATTATTTATTCTAGAGCATTACATAAGACCCAAACTATAAACAGCTGTATACTACGTGTATGATACTGTAGCCTATGGATTTATTGTCACAATATCAGATTGTTGATTGATTTTCTATAAACCCTCTAGAGGAAACTATTACCATAATATTATCTTTTTCCAATCTGAAATAAGATATCTTTTAGTTGTTGTTCCAAATTTAAAGATAGTGAAGGTTTATGAGGTTGACACATACAATACTAATATCTAGGAAGTCTTAACGTGAGGGCCACCAGAAAGATATATTGTTATTCCAGTTTGGCTGTCCTACTTGAGATTTTAAGCAATCTTATTGGTTGGTATCTTGTGACTTAACTTATTAACTCTGCTTCTGGCCTGATTCTGCCAGCTATGAGATTAATCTGACATTTAGCCATTAATTCCAATTTTCAGTATTAAAAATATCATACTTTAGTCTGTATTGCTTTGTTTTTGTCATATCACATTTTCCAGACCTTGACATGAATGTCCTGATAGTTTTGATTTATTTCTCAAGGTAAATTCCCAAAAAAATCAAATTTGAGCTTTGTATTTCATATAGCATGACTAAAGCTAAGGAAATTGAGTAGACTTCCCTCCAAAGAGACCTGACAAAGTGGTAGAATAAACTATACTCTTAAAGGATTAAGACCCACATATATGTAAGGTATTTTGCATATGTCATAGGGTATTTTTTTCCTTTATCTTCAGGAAGAGCCATTTGAACCTGAAAAAATTGATCCAAAGAAGTGCTTTTTCTATGATGACTATCCATTGGAAGGTAAGTTGGGGCTTGGCTCTTATGTTTTCTATCTTATTTTCCCTTTTATGTTTTACTGTTTTAAAACTGAAATTGTAAGGAATGCTTTGTTGAAGTCATGAAGATTCTTCTTACTGAAAGTAAGCTGCTTATCCTGTGCATGCCGTGTGTGAAACAACTGGCTTTTACTGTAGCTTCACTCTAATTCAACCATTTTTGTGTTAATTGATATTCCAGTGTTATCACTATACTAGAAGCCTGTACCAGTAGAACAAGCTTGATTCATTTGTATTTAGGCATGAAGACATGCATTCTATAGTATTCAGTGTCTCGGGTAATCAAAAACCAGACTGATCAGATGTAAGGATAGTCATGCCCGAATCACATTTTCCATTATCAAGTGGCTTTTATAGACTCTATGTCTAACTAGGTTTTCTAGACCGAAAGTGATTCACTCATGACTTCAGAATGCCGAAAGGAATAATCAACCTATTTTACAAATATGCAGTCTGAAACTAAAATTAGATTGTATCTTCTTTGTTTCTTCAGTGAGACATCAAGTTATTTTGATCTTGATCAAAACTTCTTTGTCTTGTGTGGTTGCTCTAAAAGACCACGATAGTTTTGTTTACTAGGAACTTATTTTACCACAATCTTGTTGTCTATTGAATCACTTGATTCATTCATTACCATTTAACCTGAAAGCTACCTATATAGCTAGCCTAGAAAATGAGGTATTAAAATTCCTAGAATGGTTTTCCAGCTTAAGCCAAATGATTGATTGCAATTGCTTTTCACAAAGTAAATCTTAAGAATAACAGATTTGTCTTAAGATTTTTGAATTTTTGCTAATGGGGTTAATAGCTCTACTTTTGAATGGTTGCATGGGAGGGAGGTTTATATTAAGGATAAGACAAAAAATGATACGACAGTAAATGCTCTACAAAAGCATACTATATGTTTTTCATAGAAAGTTAACTAAGATGGTCCTCTGTAAAACAAAAATGCAAAAACCGTATGTACGCCTTATAATACCAACATCTGGTTTATTTTAAGCTGTCTTGTCATCAAGTATTCCATGACGCTTGTGGTGACTCCTTGTCTTCAAGACTATATACCTAACACTATTTCAATTAAACTGATTAAAAACTAATGAATGTTTGATTGTTCATGCTTATATACGAGACGTCTCCTCCTGTAGAGGCAAAAGAAATCTCTATATGTGGCTTGAGTAGTTTTTGCATTCTAGGTATAAGAAGGCATGTTTTTTGTCAATGACTGGTAGGAATGAGGATATATAACCCAAAAATGTCAAAAAAAAAATTACTTATAAAAAGTACTAAAAAGTCATTTTTGAATTTTGGATTTTGTTTTTCAATACAATGTTGTTTTAGTTTGGGGTTTTATGTATCATCTTTGTATACTTCATGTCTTGGTTTCATCTGTATGTTATAATCATGTATCCTGTATGCTATGAAATAGAGCTTTAATCTTTAAATATCTGTTTCAGTTGTAGAATTGCCGGATCTGCCTGATGGGAAGAAAATTGAACTGACTTTTGACAGAGAAGGGCTTGTTGAGGCTTCAACACAGACAACAAAGCCATTTAAAGTGAGTAACCTTACAGTGCAGCACTACTTGCTTTAGAATTAGACTACCAATAAATTTTCAACAAATTTAATGTCTGTATTGAAGAGATAACTAGCTAAAAACTAGTGTGAGCTGCGTCGGTGTTTCTAATGAAACAGTAATGATAAGGTAAATTATACACCGTGAAAAGATGAAAAAACTTACTGACGTTTCGGGCACTAGTCCTTTGTTGAAGTACATTTATTCTGACAAAGGACTAGCATCCGAAACGTAAGTTTTTTCATCTTTTCACGGTGTATAATTTACCTTTTTATCATTACTGTCTCTATTGAAGTTCAATGTATACCATACTTTTATAAAGCTTGGCTTATGGTAGTCTCCTATGCACTCACCAACTTTGTGTGACGACACTAATGTGGACTTTAAGATTTGCACCATCTACGACGGTGATGTCAACCAGAAGTGTAAATAACTTCACTTTAGGGTCAGGGCGTCTTCAAAGTCTGTCTTTCCTGTGGATAAGTTGACATTACTGACAATTTTTTAAATGAAGTCTCCGATGAACAGAAGTCTATAAGAGATCAGAAGTTATTCACACTTCCAGTTGACACCGCCATCATAGATTTTGCAAATCTTAAAGTCCCTAATAGTAACTGCATAGGACACTGCAATTGGAGAAAAAATGTATACCTGGAGACCTGGACAACCCAAGAAGCCCAATTCCAATGGAAAGAAGCTTCTCTCCTCCAATCCCCTTCCCCCTAGCAATGTTAAATGGATGAATGCTCATGTGCCACCAATCATTATTCAAAACAACATTGATAAGAGTGAGGGAGCTTAATAGTTCCTAATGATAAATTTTAGAGCAAAGTTTGATGAATATTCCCATGAAATTGTAAATTAAGCAGAGAGGCCTCATTATTTTATTTGCTGATTGTAGACTTGTGTCTGTTTTAAAAATTAATTGGCATACATTTATATTAAAAGACTATAGCACATACAGAATACTAAATGATGTGTGTCCATAAAGGCAGGTGTCTACTGAGTGGTAGCTTAAGATTTTTACTGGTAACTGCCATGACGATTACTAAATTTTTCATTCGCCTCTTTAAATTCTGTCAATGTTAAAATGTGTCATTTTATGCTTCATTTTAGGAAATAAGCGAGTGTGGAATGTCTGTGAAATCAGTTGGCTCTGATCATCAAGAATGGTCTTACACCTTGTATGACTTTGAAGGAAAGGGACAAGTAACCAGAGATGTAAGTACATGTCTGTATGAATTAAAAATATGTTATCTTGGAGATGTTTGTTGGTTTTTCCTTTGGGTCAAGGTTTTTTTCCCTGGGCTCTGGATTTTCCTCCCTCAGTTAAGTCAACTTCTGAATTCCAATTTGAATCCAGTGGAAGAAGATCGACTCTGAAACCATTGTTAATTCCCATTAACTTATATTGCTTTTGTTGTTACATACCACTTTTTTTTGGTGTTGCTATCGATTGAGCTCCCACCTAGTACAAAGGGAGTTTTGAGTAGAGTTTTGAATTGAACTTACCAATAAGTAAAAATACTAAAATACTAACTGTTTTTAACATTGTGCCCATGGAAGCAGTACAAAAATGTCATTACTGATGTGGTTCATTTGTTATTATGAATGGACAGTGTGAGGTCTTTGGGCTATTCACCCCCCACTATCTTTTGATAAACACCACTTATTACAAGTGCCTGCATGTCACATTTAAGTATAACAATTAATAAGACATGATGATGGACAGTTCTGTATATAAACTGTAGAAAAAGTTCTTTTTGCAATTCCTAAAATTCAGTAACTTTCTGAAAAATTGTACTGACAACATTTTCTGGGATTTTGTACATTTTCTTCTAGAAAACGTTTTATCATTATTTATCATCTTAGATAATATTTCAATAATTTAGAAATAGTTTTAAGTATCTACATGTTTTTGTTTGGCTGAGACAAACATATTACTTGCTTTTTAGGACTTGAAAAACCTGGTCAAGTCCATTTATGAAGTTCTTGGCAAAAGTGTCGCACAGTCAAAGAACCAGCCAAAGGATCCACTAAAAAAACTCAAAGTAAGATTATCAGTATCAAAAGAAAGAGGAAAAAATGGTAATGGAGAACCATCAACTTGTCATGAGTATGTGATTTCTGCCGTCACACAAGATCACACAAAGAAAAGTAGAACCAGGACTTATCCAGTAGAAAGATGTGACTCAATGGCAGTTAATCCACCTGAAAGCTTGATGGATATTCATAAAGTACAGTCAATTGTGCATGAGCGAACAGTAATGGAAGGCTTAGAGAAAGGCATTCCTTATACTCAAAAGACAAACTGTAAAAAATGTGACCATGGAAGAAAAAGTAAGTCCACAACAGTGAAAGAAGAAGTCCAGAGGAATCCTGCTTCTGCTGATCCAAATCCTGGAGGTTACCGGTGTCCCAAGAGGATGCAAACTGGGCCAGGAGAATGTAACCCTCCAAGTCCACAACAAACAGACTTGTGTAGAGTAAGAGATTGGCTGAATAAGCTTTGTGAGCCAAATGGTGGACAGGCATTTGAGAAGACAGAAAGTCGCCATCGCCACAGAAAGTCTCGCCATCATTCCTGCAAACAGGACTCTTTTGAACCCGACTTTGACCTGCATAGGTGTCCACAGTATTTAGACCTAGCAACGGATCATGCAACCTATCCCTATCATGTCCAAAGTCATGCTTGTTTGTATGGAAACCCTTCTCCTAGACAACGTCATTCAAAACATCCCAAAGGAGGTCATTATCATTCCTGTAAGCACCAAAGAGAGGTGACAAGGGGTCCAAACCAAAGAACAGTGGTACATCAGCATGAGCATCATCACCATCACAGCCATCATCACTATCACCACTATATTGACTAAAACTTGAATTGTTATAATATCTAATTTTTGTTATATCTTTGGATGCAATTTGTGAAATCATGGCCTCACAGTACATTCAATTGACAGTATTTCAAAATAGAAATTTATTTTTTGTTTCTATCTTATCTTTAACAGATATGCAATATACATGATTCTTTATCGATTTGAAACTTGCCATAAATTAGCAGTAGAAGGGATAGAGTGAAAAAATGGGAGAATACTTTTGGGGTTTTTTCCATGCTGAAAATTCAAATAAAACCACAAAAATTGGATGAAGAGGTATGACTAAGCTAGCAATCATAGGAAGGGGATGGGATGTTTCAGGTTTTTTTGGGGGGGGTGGGGGGTAAGGATTGGCCCTTCTAGTAAGATTACTCCATCCCTTTGCTGCATTAATCTATGACCACTTAGAGGAATTAAACTAAAGGCCACCAAGTAATTTTTTTAGAATAGATACAAAATATTATATATTATGTATAATATACAACAAGGTATTTAATGCTGTAGTAATATGTGAATAACAACTTTAACACTGTATACATACTTACATATATACCTAACAACAAAGCTATATTACTTTAAACTCAGAAAATATAAAATCAAGAAACTATGGACTTCTTACGTTTATAGTTTCAAGTTAATGACAAAAAGAGCGATCCAAAGGACATTTTATCAAATGTCAGGTGACATTTTGTAGGACAGATTAGGCCTTCACGATATATTTGTTTACGAAATAATAAGTAGTGATATTCATTGAACTTTAAGGTGATTTAATTAAGAGGCTACATGATTATTTCTAATCAGTAAATATTTCATGCTCAATATTTCATTGTTCTTAGGACAATCAGATGTTAAGAACCTGTCTCAACTTTTTTTAATCAAGTCTTTAATGATTACTTTTCTAGTGGTGACAAACACAACTTTATTTTGATAAAAGACCTTTATAAATTAAAGGAATTTTTTTTTTTTTTTTTACATTCAGTTGATGCCTGAAATTAGAATAAACATATAGTGAAGATAAAACTTAATGAAATTAAATCCTGGTTGGAACAAAATTTATTATGATATCTAACATCTGCAAGAACATGCATTCTTTACAAATACGAATAGAGAACTTGATTACCTCATCATTTACATTTATGTAACCTTGTGTACACGTCCATGGATTCTTATATTTAAGCCAATTTTATCAATAATAATAATAATAATAAGAGTTAAATTACCACACTTTTGTTATGATTCTATCCCACATCAAGGATATGGAGCTTAGCCGTTCTGTTCATAATAGTATGTTATTATTCTCTAGCAATTTTAATTGTTTTATCATGCTTAGGATTTAGAATTAGGGCTTAGAAATTTAATAATATATTAAAAACTTCAATATTATGGAATTTAAATACAATCAGTATTTTCATTGTTGGGATGTTTTCAAAGTTTTAGAGGAAGTGGAAGTGGTATGCATGTGGCTGTTCAATCAAAACAAATATCACCAAAAGTATGAATTTCCTTTGAAGCTGAAGATGAACACATTACAGATAATATAGAGCTCTTAAGCGTGACGTTACTCTTATGGAAAACAAGTCCAAAAAGAGAAGCATTTCTATAAAGATTTAAAAAATTTTTCTCTGTGCCAGGTTTAATATATTAGACTGCGTAATGCAGAAATTTGTTGAATTAATGAGACAAAATGTGGCCATGCCACACAATTTAGTCCACCTCATTTTGCCTCCCGTACTAAACTATCCAGAACGAGGAAAAAAAACTATTAAATCATTGAAAAAAATTTTTTGGTTTATTTTCATGGTGTTTGTGAGAGTTGGATCTGAAAATGTGTTATAACTTAACAGCTCTAAAAAACAATCTTGAAAAACAGCATAATAATAATATTATTGCAATAATTATTGCTATGTATTGGTTGAAATTCATTTCAAACATCAATGTCTTCAACCTTTGTAATTAATAAATGTCTGGCCTGATCTAAGTTATTAGTGAGGCTTGGAAGCACTAATTGAATCAGTAGCTAGAGGAAAGACGAAAGAGGACTAATATTTAAGTATGCTAATAATTTGTAAAGAACTCTCCAATTGTTGCTAAACCTTTCATCCATTAGTAAAGGCAGTGCTGTTTTATTGATTATAGTATTTCATCATCTTCAAATTTTATAAATATGTACATATTCTTGTAAAAAGTTKATAACGTTCAATGTAAAATTCTATCAAATATTAGGTTTATATGTTACCATACAATTATTAAACACTTCCAAAATTAATATGTCATTTTTAAATGTAAACTATGATTAATCAAAGCCCTTTTCTTGACATTTGGTTTGCTCGTCTAGTCTCCTCTGCAGCCATCATTAGTTTCAGTCCCAGATMCTCACGTGGCTTCTAATGACAACACGGAGGATACTATTGCTTGTCGCTCACAAAAATTTTAGTATGAGGCTATGTAATAAATTATGTAATTTTTTTTCTCCCATTAGGAATCACTGAGCATTATGCATGTAGCCTTGCATTGAAAACTTTGTGTGTGACATGTACAAGCAAAGCATATCTTGGAAGTGGGCTTTTTGAGTATTATTCTGTGAGGTGAGTCTCCTTTTACCTCCTCCTCCTTTCCTTCTCTCACCTGTGGAGGAGGGAAAAGGAGACTGTGCTTTTGGCTTTCGGGGTTTTGGAGTATTGGCCTGGGAAAGTCTAAATTTAAGATATAATATTGACCACTAGCATATGCCCCCATGCCCCCCCCCCCCAAAGGTTTGCTTTGGACACCAAAATTTAATTAATTCGTTTGAGATTTCTGTGGATTTGTTGGGGAAATTTTACATCAACCCTATGGATATTCAAGACGTCACTATGGAAGCATACATTTTTTATGATCAGTTGTTAGCCCAAGTATATATAGGGTAAAACAATATATTTTAGGGTAAGCAATTTTTGCAGTCAACACTAAGGAGGGGGGAAAAAAATAGATATTACTAATTTATGCTCAGTGAATTAGTTTGTTAGTCTCCGTTATATCAACCAACATGGATGCCATTACTAATTTACTAATTTACTAATTTATACTCAGTGAATTAGTTTGTTATTCAAGGGTGGATCCAGGGTAGTTTACGTGATTTCCGTAAACTACTCAATTTTTTTCAAAGCTA